AGGTTCCTCTGAGGCTAAGAAGCTCCCAAAAACGGGTGGGGGCTGCAAAAAAAAGCCATGCCCACCCAGTCACATGGCCATGCCCACCAAAGCCTCGCCCACAGAACCGGTAGTAAAAGTTTTTGAATCCCACCACTGAGTCACAGGGCTGCAGTAAGAAGGCAAAGGAAACAGTTTTCTTTTTGATTTCATTCTACATGGGATCTGAGACATGTTTTGACTGGGTACCTCCATTCCTATCTCCTAAAAAGAAAGGTGTACAGATCCTGCCTTTCCAACTACATTCATGTGAAAAAGTAAACAAATCCATTGATTTTTAAAAACCTTTTCATTATATTTCAGCATACAGATATTTGAGCCTTATTTCAACATTATTGTTAGATAAAGGGGATACAACATAACAACGTTATGCAATGTTCAGCATTTGCTTTTTGTAGCCCATTGTAAAATTTAAATACACATAAAAATGAAATGAATCGTCCATTCATTGGCATCTTAGGAATCTCTGAATTAGAGTGGACTGGACTTGTCATTCATCAGTCATTCAATTTACTCTTCAGTAAATTGAGTTAAATAAGAAAGAAAACGTTGCTTTCAAAACAAGGAAGGCTATAGCATAGCAAGAACAGTACTTGGGTATAATGCAATCAGTAATTGAATACAACCAATTAAACTTCATAGATAATCTTTTAACAATTATCCAAATGTATGTTCCAACTGTTGATGCAGAAGGAGAGAAAGCTGGTGAATTTTATCATCACTTTCCCTCTAGAATTGGCAGAACATGCAAGCAAGATACGCTAATTGTGACTTGAGAGTGGAATGTCAAAGTGTTAAGAAAGAAAATATAGTGGGTCTCTACTACCTAGGAAATCAAAATATTTTAATAATTTCTACCAAATGTCTTCTTGTTGACACAGACTTCCAATGACATTTATACATATGAACATCACCAGGTGTATTACACAGAAATCAAATTGGTTATATTGTTGCTATAAGAAGATGGAAAAGCTCATTTATAATAGCCAAAATGTGGTCGGAGACTGATTGTGAAACAAAATACGAATTGCTCATATGAAAATTTGAAGCCAAGCTAAAGAGGAGTAAGACAGCTGATTGGTCTCCACAAAATGATATTGATCATATGCCTACCATTTTTGTTATTATTTTGTGATTCAGAATCTGATTCTGACCTGGAAGCTTTGAATACTGTGTTTGTGTGTGTGTTATCAGCAACGTTGAAGCAGAACATTTTTAAGGAAAACAAAAAGAATCACTTTGAAGCCCTGAAATGCTACAAAGGCATAGGAACTGTGAAATGAACTTAAAGAAATTGTTAATGAGGAATGTGGGAAAAAATTGTCAGATTACAAAAGAAAAAAGAAAAAAAAAGAAATCAAGCTGGATGGAACAAACCATCAAAATTATCAGGAAGAGAAGAGAACCTGAAGCCAAGAAATACAGAAATCTCAGGAAAGATCTTAATAAAGAATTTTAGAAAGCTGTTAGAAGAACAATGACATCTGTAAAGATATCAAGATGGAGAAAGCTACATACACACAACCCCCCACCAAAAAAGCAAACAAATAAACAAAACAAAAACCAAACCAAGGAATGAATGTCTTCCAAAATATTTTTGAAGTCAGATGGAGGTTCCAACTTTGAAGTGATATGCTAAAGGCTGCCAATGGAGAAATAGTAACTAATGACAAGAAGTACTGGAACATGGCTGTGTTGGTTTAGATGCCATTTTACATCTATTTTCTGATTCATTATAGCTTTTATAATTATAACACAGTCAGAAGGAAGGCAGAATCTGTACATTTCTTTTGTATAATCAGAAAAAAGGGTGGATCACCTGTCAATAATGAATTTTCTTAATTGTAGTTGTGCCCAGTTACAGCAGTCCCTTCTGACTATTTTTGTGATCTGTTTAAACATATTGTAATTATAGGTACGGTGCCTGTTTCTAATGAAAAAGCATATCTTTGCTATGGATAGTGCCTGGATACAAGGATATGTGTACTAAATATTTTAATGGAAACAATGACTGATTTGGTTTTTGTTTTATAAGGAGAACACAAAAGAAACATCATCATGTGGATGGACCATCGTGCAGTTAATCAAGTAACGCGCATCAATGAGACACAGCATAATGTGCTGTCCTTTGTTGGTGGTGTGATGTCAGTTGAAATGCAGCCACCTAAATTGCTATGGATGAAAGAAGTGAGTTCAAGAATTCAACAGGTTTTGCCATTTTTGTCAAGAAAGCTTGAATCTTCTAACCTGTACATCAACCATTCTCAATCGTCTCTGCTTCTTGCTAATACTACAGCCAATATTTCCAACTGACTTAGCCAATCATTGTTTCTAACCTGGTCCTCTCCTTAGCCTTCTGGGGAAAGCATGTTGGGAAAGGCCATTGCAAATGTTGAAGAGATAATAAAATATAGAAGTATATCTGTCCCTAACAAAAACATTAAAACAGGAAATTGCAATAATTTTCTAACAATTCCTGCTTTTTATGTCAGCTGTTTTTAAATATAGTTCTGGTTCTTAACATGCTTATTTTTAAAAATTGGATTAAAATATTTAATATTTTCTCAGTTAGAAGACTTGGCAGGTTGTATATTTGTCTTTAGAAGACTGAGATCAAGCCTAAACTATTGGATAATGACAGAAAAATACATAGCCAAAAATAAAAGTGTTAATATTCATTAATTTCTATATATTTCATATCAAGAATGATGGGGCTAATGTCCCATCCACTTCTGAATTCTTACTGTAATTAGGATTTTTAATTGACTCTGTTGATTGTTTGGTCTTTTAAGAAGTAAATTGTTAGAAGCGGCATAAAGAAATGTACTTTTCTTCCTTTTCCCAATGATTCTGCTATCTTATTTGGATGTATAAGTATTTTGAACTAATCCTTTCCTGTCAGATGGCAAATACACAAAGTTTGGTACATTTTAGTGCATATTATGGTGATGGGACCTAGCTGGCACATGCCCTGTATTATATTCAATAACAATATTAATGGGTATCCGCAGATTCTTGCTGCTTGTATGAAAATGACAAAAAGATCACTGCACCATAATGCTGTAAGTTCTACCTCTTTCGGATGTGAGTGTGATGTCATAATGCATGTACAAAAGGGGCAGAGCTTACACTGCAAGAATTCACAATACGTTAATTAGACTGACCGATTTGACACAGCTACAGGCATTTGTAAGGGAACCAACACGGTAGTGGTGATTCAATCTAATTCCATCCATTTAAATTTGAAAACTATTAGGATGGAATGGGAATTGAGCAAGTTTCTTTATCAATTGTATGTAACAATATAAATCAGGGAAGAAATAAATTGGCACGTTAAAAATATAATGAAGTAAGGGAAACATTGAATAGGAGGGTCATTTTTGGATACTATTGAAGCATGTTTGTATTTTATTGAAACATACTGAATTCTCTACAGAAAATTGATTTGATTAATAAGTTCAGGACAGACAAAATAGATCTTCCAGTAATTAAGGAATTTGTTTCTAATAACTGATTACCCGCAACATGCTAAGAGGCACTTCTGATCTCATTGTCAGTATCTTATTATAAGAGGCAAGGCAGAATGTTTCAGTTTTAAAGATACACATTTGTAATAAGAAATAATATTCAGCAATAAGAAGTCAATTTGCACATACAGTCATAGTCTAATGAAGGCCTGTCAAACTGGCGGGCCATGGGCTGGATATGGCCCAGGCAGGCCACACCCATCCCAGCTCCGCAAAGGTAAAAAAAGTCCTGATATGTCACAATATGGCCCGTGATGCGATCAGATTTGACACCCCTGGTCTAATGTCTTTGTTAATTTACTTTTTTTTTGTGGTACAGGTTGATACAGAACTTTTTTAAACTTCCAACTATCAGATGAAAAGGAAAAATGTACCATTTGAATTTTTTAATAGGCCCCACTAGTCTGGCTTCCACATTTGGTCTCAGTGATGCTTTCTGTCTGTTAATAAAGGCCAATTTAAATTGCCCCCTGCCAGTTTCTAAGAGCTGAAGTCTCTTTTTCTGATTCTTAACATACAGTGGGATTAGTTGGAGCTGCTGAAGGTCAACAGAGTTAACTGGTAGAAGCTAAGAATGAAAAATTCATATTGATAGGGGTTAATTAGCATTGCTTGAAGATCCTGTTATGATATGTGAATATTCATTTAAACTGCTCCACACTCGGTGTTTGAATAATTCATAAGAGGTTTAGAAAAAAGTTTTGGGTTTCTATACTTGCTGCTCAATGGTAACTAGAAACAGTAAAGAGATGAAGTTCACTGTTTAGGCTAGTAGCCTCAAGGAGAAAATTGTAGCCCCATAGAAAATAAATGAGTATGAAAATACAAGTCTGTGGCTTGCCAAGTTTAATGTTATGGATATAGAATAATATCCAGTATAGATTAATGGAAAGTCATATGTCATTCTCTTGCCTACCAATGAAAGAAATAATAGAATTTGTTATTTCTTATGGAAAAAATATAATTCTTTCTAAATTGGTGGGTAGTGCAAATATTGTTTATATGGGCTTAATTGTGGTAATAAATTGAGGACTACCTGTATCTCTTGATCCTGACTTGCTGAGAAAAATTAGCTTATCCTTTTATTACCAGAAAAGATGTATTGTCACTTGGCACCATAGTGGAAGAAGAAAGGGAGTAGTGCCAACAATTGCTGAATCATAGCCTGGATTAGGCATGACTTAATTTTAAAAATGCTTACCATGCTTCAAATTTAGAACAAAAAAAAATTAGATGGCAGGGATTTGGTTTCCATTATAGGTGGAAGAAAACCACAGCTAAGGTTTTAGGGATAGCTTTCTTTAGTATTATAAGCTATAGGATCAGATTGTATTCCTACTGAGTATTAATAAATAAACTATCTGTTTCCCTGGGCTCCAAAATGAGCAGTATGGTTTACTTTCAGGGGGTGTCTTATTTGTTTTTTTTCTATGTACAGGAGCCCACTTCTGCTTGCTCATGGTGGGGTAGGAGGCTGTGTGTCATGCCAGTGCTGCCGCCACGAGGCAGGGAGGGTGGAGCTGCCCCATGCGCATCGCAATGGCTTATCTCAGGACTCACAGCCAGGCCATCCATGCCTCAACACCTGCTTCGCCTCACAGCCACGGCACCAATGTGCTGCTTGGCCTTTTGCTCTGTTGCAACCGCAGAAAAAAATGGGCTGACGGTCAAGTGGGCTCTTGCTCCTTATGGCTGTTGGTGCTGCTACCGCGAGGCAGTTGTCGGGGCGTGGATGGCCTGGCTGCGGAGACCCTGAGGTAAGCTGGTACGGGCGCATAGAGCAGCTCTGCTGCCCTCCCGCTTTGCCTTGTGGTCTCATCCCACGGGAATGGGTGGCCAGTCAGCTTATTTTTGTGGGTAGGGATTATATTAAGCGCACATGTAAAAACATGCTAGGGTTTATTTTCTGGATAGGTCTTATTTTCAGGGAAACAGTATATTTCTTTGTACATAGTTTGTTACTTTTTTTTAATTGTGGAAAAATCAGCCTATAATTAATGTTTATTTTCATGGAACTTCATGAGTCTTGGTAGCTAGCTCAATATCTATCTTTTATTTGTTTATTAAACAGATTTATATAACTGCCCTACTCTCACAGAATTTGGCATAGTTTGTTTGAAAGTAAAGTACCTGGTGTGCTCTTACATTCTTTTTAATACAAAGAATGTACATACCTTAAATAAACCTGCAGAAATAAGATAATATCAACAACTCCAAATCACTCGTTCATTCATATAACTCATTCGATAAATAGACTCTACTTCCTCACGCTAAGAATTAAGCAAACTTGATTTCTCCAGTTTCTTGGACCATATAAAATTAAAGTCTGGAAGTTTTGATTGTCTGTTGTTCCTAACATTGTTCGCTTCTGCTCTGATATTTATGCAAAACCAGAATGGTTCAGTAGGCTTTCTGTTAGAAAAATTCTTTGAAGACTATCCTGAGCATTGCCATTGGTAAATGTTTTGAATTTGTTTCGCTATGTATGCCATTGAATTCTTGAATTTGTGTTCTACTTATTGCTTGTTATTATGTTTAATCTTTGGCTGTTGGATTGCATTATACCAAAAAGAATTGGTTACATTTTCTTCCTATAATGGTGGTGCAATATAGCTTGTAACATGCTGGATAATTATTAGGCACCTTCAGTCGGGATTGAATATTTCTGATTGTTTAGATTAGAAAGATTGACTTACTAATTATACAAGATATGTTCCTAAATTGATTTTAAAAGCTTCAGTCGCACTTCATTTATTACATGAAAGGAAAGAGATCTTCCTACCCATGCTTTTTCCACAGGGTAAAAAGGTCAGAGTATAATAGCTTGATAATTAATAATCAAATGGCAATTACAAGCAATAATTCTTTTTCATCTCACATTGCGGCTTTCTTCATCTTTGAAATGCCTGGTATATTTCTGCTATCCTTTTACACGTGGCTTTTTTATGTCTCCCTTTCTCTTTTTCATTAAGTAGACAGAAGCAGTTGCCTCTGGCAGCTTATCTTAAGTACTATAAAAGGGACTGTAAATTATTATTTAATTTATTATAAGTGTTATGTTATTTTTAATCGCAGAAGGTAAGAAGTACTTGTGAGGGTTGGTTTTTTTTGTTTTGCTTCAAATGCCAAAATAACTACTAGCTTTGGATTTGAGAGAAGAACATTATCTGCTGCTCTGTTTCGAGGAACTAAATGGTTTGGGCTGACCTTGAACTGTGATTTTTCTTTCCTTGTGATGCATCAGAAATTATCACAATATTTGTGATATATTCAATATTCATATCTGAATAGCCAGGGTATGGTAAACCAGTGTTTGAAGCCTTTCAGTATTCTTTCTCCCTATTTGTGCTCTGGGAGTAGGTTGATAATAGTTTAAAATTTCTATTTATATGTGCTAAATAAACAGGTTGATGTTATTTTTTTCCTCCCTCTTTCCAATCTGGCTTTATTTTGCAGACCTTGTGCCTGGCAATTATTTTTAGAATAATGCTGTTTTGCCCACTTCCAATTACTCTCCTCAGCTCCCACTTTCACCCACATTCTCTGTTAAGAATGTGATTTGATTTGTGTTGAATCTTCTTCCTTCTGGAGAGAATTATATAATCATCAAATCTTCCCTCAGCTGTAATTCTACATGCCAACAGCTGCCAATTAAGGAATATTCACTTAGTTGTTCTGATCCTATCCCCATGTTGATGAATCGGGCTTTTTTGTTTTTTTGAGGGGGTGAGGAATAGAAAGAAGATTCCTTGAAAAGCAACCGCTATAATCTGAACGAAGTCATACCGGAGCTATAGTTGCTTGAATTTGCTTCAAATTAAGCATGCTTTTGATGGGAGATCCAGGCCTAGATTTCTTTTTCCAAATGTTTGGATTACTATGTGATATTGGGCAGATAGAAGGCTAAAGAGGGAGGAATGCCATGATTAATGCTTAGCTAAGGGAAATGACTTGTATGGTCACCACAGGTAGTCCTCTACTTAGAACTGTTCACTTAGTGACTGGTCAGAGTTACAACAGCACTGAAAAAAGTGACTTATGATAGCTTTTTACACTTACAACTTGCAGCATCCAATGGTCATGTGATTAAAATTCGGATGATTGGCAACTGGCATGTATTTATGACAGTTTGTAGTGTGCCAGGGTCATGGGATCACCTTTTGTGGCCTTCTGACAAGTTAGTCAATGGGGAAGCCAGATTCACTTAACAAGCATATTACTAATTTAACAATTGCGGTGATTCACTTAACAACTGTGGCAAAAAAGGTCATAAAATAGGGAAAACACACTTAACTGTCTTACTTATCAGTGGAAATTTTGGGCTCGGTAGCGATCATAAGTTGAGGTCTATCTGTTTTACAGAGGTAATATGAATTCAAAGTTATTATGTCTTAATGGGCTCTAATGAGTGAGTATGTGCACGCACATGTACGTATCAGAGGTGGTATTCAGCAGGTTCTGAACAGTTCTGGAGAACCGGTAGCAGAAATTCTGAGTAGTCTGACTGCCCCTGCCCCCATCTATTCTCTGCCTCCTGAGTCCCAGCTGATCAACTGGGTCTTCTTTTGTTGCCCTGCACAGGAGAATGGAGCTGGAATGTAGGTTAGAATGGGGAAAGAATGGAGATTTTACAATATCCTTCCCCTGGAGTGGAGTGGGAATGGAGATTTTATAGTATCCTTCCCCTGCCACACCCAAGCCATGCCCACCAAGCCACACCACACCCACCAAGCCACACCCACAGAACCGGTACTAAATTTTTTTGAATCCCACCACTGGTACGTATACTTCCTGCTTTGTATAGAATCTGTTGATCCAGAATGGGCTGGCCAAGAGGACAAGTTTCCAGTAGTTTCCAGCCTGGGATCTTAGTAGAACAGGGATCTCAAAATAGGTTTCCCTTTTTATATATTGTTAGAAGAAGGTTTTAAATAATATTTTAAAAAAATTACATAAATAAAAAGTTAGAAAAAAAGAGATATAGAAAATAGAAGAAAAAGTGAAAAATAACAAAAGGAAAAGAAAAATATCTAAAGAAGCGACTACCCATCTTTGTAGTGCTTATAAACATGATAGTTACCATCTCCACCCTCCCAAATTACATATCATGCTTCTTCCCACAAGCAACTCTTTTTAATTAGTAAATCCCAACATCACCAATTCATTTTTGTCCATTTTCAGCAAAAAGTCCATAAACTTCCTGTCTTTGTTCCCTACTTGATCAAACAAGTCAATTTAGTCATTCCTGCAAGCTCTGCCGTCTTTCTCCATTAGTATATCTTCCATCTTTGTGTATATATTAGATTCGCTGTAGTTCTTAAGATTTTTCAATCGCAGTCCTCTCATTTGCAATAGCTTACTTCCCTTGGAGAGTCAGAAAGGCAGCTAAAACAATTCTTTATTACAAAACATAAAAGTGTTAAGTAATTTGGAATGTATCTCTCTCCACTGAATTCTAATTTTTAATGTTGATTTTGTTACTGGTTGATGCTGACTTATGTTTTCATGATAGTAGTCAACATCATTAAAAAAGATCAGCAAAAGTTATATTTTTAACATAGATAATAAAATGCTGTCTAGCTGCAGAGTATTAAGTCTATCTCAGTGTCTGCTGTTAAAGTTGTGGGTCATTGTGTTCTGTGGTCTCAGCTGTATTTTTTGGAAAATCTGTAAGTGATTTGGCTTGTCACTTTCTAGTAAGAAGTTGGTCAAAGTATTGTTATCTGCTGAGTAGATAGAACATGAGAGTAAGTTATTACGATCACATTTGGAGCTGATTAACTACTTGGAATTGACTAGTGTTTTCAAAATAGCCTTTAAAAAAAGTCTAAATGATGATTTCCATAAAGAAAGAGATATTTGGGAAAAGGAGTCCAACTGTACTTTCCAGTGAATAACAAATAAATCTGGAGCTACAGAAAATGACTTGCTATACTGAAAACTACATTAGGATAGTTTCAGTACACTTGTTAATTATGTGGACTGGAGTACTGCAAATAATAGAATGACTTGTGTAGTCAGATTGGTATATATGTAAAACTTAATGTTAGTGTGGAAACATATAGCAAAACCTGATGTGTTTTTCTGATCTAACCGGTGGTGACAAATCATTTTGGTGACTAAAATGAATCATTTGGATGTGTTTCAAGGGGCTCATTTTCGAATCTTTTTACTGTAGCTTTTGGAAAGCTGCAATAGTGTTCACTTATTTTTCCTTTTACGTCAGACGTTTGACCCCATTGATACTAAACCACTCTCTCTGGTCATCTTAGTCCTGGCTTCCATGAAAGGGAACAAGAACAAACTTTTTATAGGACTTTCAATACTCTTGCCTGGAAATTCTTATTTCATTTCTATCCAGAATATGCCTGCTTTTGTTCCTTTTCCTATTGATTTGTTTAACTATTGGATCTAAAGAATTATACAGTTAAATAATGGTATCTACATTTATTTATCTATATTCCACCTTTATTATTTTTATACACAACTCAAGGTGCTGAACATATCTAATGCTACCTTCTCCTCCTGTCTTCCTCATAACAACAACAACCTGTGAGGTGGGTTGGGCTGAGAGAAAATGAGTGGCCCATAGTCAGTCAGCTGGTTTTCATGGCTAAAGTGGGATTAGAATTCATGGTCTTGTGGTTTCTAGCCTGGTGTCTTAATCACTAAACTAAACTGGCTCTAAATATGCATGTAATTACAGTGGTGGTGCCATGATGCTACATGAAATAAAGTATTATTTAAAGCACAAGATATGGAAAATATCATAGGGCAAATATTATGTGTGAGACTAAATATAGAGAACTGAAGCATCGAGTTCTCTCTGTGACAATGTTCTTACAGAAGGAGTGGCAGAACCCGGGGGCGGCAGAGTCAAAAGAGGAATGAGCCTAGAGTATCTATGTAGCCACAAGTGGACCAAATCCAATCCCTCTTGAAATCTGTTGAAAAATTTTCTTGAGTTCAGTAGAGTAATGTCAGGAGCAACAGAATAATAGAGTAATTGTGATGCTCCAATTAAACTGATTTATTACTAATCATGTCTATGCATAAGAACCTGCTCAACTAACTGTTAGCTCTATCTTGGCATTAGAAAAGGGTCAGCTGAATTCAAGAGGGGTTAGACTTGGTCCACCTGTGGCTACATAGAGGCTCATTCCTCTTTTGACTCAGCCCCTGGTTCTGCTACTCATTCTCCTGCACAAATGCAGGGAATTTGCAACATTGGGACGTCCAGAAGTTTTTGGTGGTGTTAAAATGTCCTGATGTTATTTTATCCTAAAGATAATATAAGTGTCTTAGTATTACCAAAGATATTCACTCCTATCCTAGGTTACTCAGTCTTGCTACTTAGATGCCCTTTAGAGATACCGCTGGGAGATGCCAGAGAAATAAATCTACACTCATTATTAAGTTGGTATTATTATCTTGCTTATTATTTAGAGAGTTATGGCATGAAATATATTCTGATATCCAGTTCCTTTGGGAACAGGATGTAAGGTTCTCAAGAATACATAGAAAGGACACACAAATATATCCATGGATATAAACGTAGAGATAATACAAGCTGCAGAGGTTCAGTAATGAATGTTCAGAGGTTGCAAATGTAGTATATAAAACATCCTTGAGTAGACTATGGCTTTGCTTGTTAATACCTTTTGCTGGAGGACAAAACATGAATAAAGCTCAAATAACTCTACATAGAATTTTATCATTCTGTACGGAATGATGAAACTTAAATTTGGATGAAGAGAATACCGGTGTTGTCTTAGCTATTGCATATGATTTAAATTTGTTTTTAAATTATACGAGCTAAAACTATCCTTTTTATCTCCAACAAAAATTATCAGAATTTGCAAGAGTCTTGCTGGGAAAAAGCAGGGCACTTCTTTGATCTTCCGGATTTCTTATCATGGAAAGCAACAGGTGCCACAGCAAGGTATGCAAAATATTATGGCATGTTTTGTTTTTCCTCATCTCTTTTCTTGAGCCAACTTTTTCTTGTTATTTATTTTGACTGTATGCAATGTATATACACCTGCATACGATTTAAATTACATCTTGAACCTATCTTTCTGTTGTGCATTCCTGAACAAAATAGTTCCTGTGAGCATTTTCAGTTCTTAATTAATTGTTGTTGCTATTGGTTCCCTGATTCCACATTCACATATCTGGAATTTGACCAATTCAGTACCAGTTTCTTGGAAACAACAGCTGGGACATTATATCTCACAGGAGATAAAACATCTCTTTCCAATTTAAGTAAAAAGAAATCAAGATTTTACACCCCCTCTTGGAACTAGAGGGAGAACAGCCAAGGGTTTGAGAAAGCCAAATGAATGTTTTTTCTTTTTCTTTTGAGAGCTTACAAGCTCTTACTTGTCGAAACAAAACATATGCATTTGTAGCATTTATAGCTTAAGATATATGTATATATATTGCCTTGTAAAAGTTGATATTTTGCTCTGTATCTTTTATATTACGCAAATAAGAGAAACAAAATCTGGAATGAAGGTAACTTCAGTAAATTTGCTGTTGCCATAATAGGCAGTCATGGTAAACCTGGGCAGTAATATTGCCAACTTGTATTAAAATCAAGTCATAAACCTAGTATCAATAAATTGGGAATGTAATCTAAAGGCTAACCTGAGCAGCAGATATTGAAAATTCTTGCCTTCACTTTGATGTAGTAAAAGATTTAATAGTAGCCATAAGTTTGAGTTTCACAACTGTCATGAGACCACTTTTCCAGGACTGAAGCAAGCAAGGCCTTGCATGCAATCCAATTTTCAAATGTTCCCCCTTTGAAGAATTTTTGCCCACCCTCTTGGAAGATCCAGGCCTGGACATTGTTATATTCTGTGATTCAACCCTATTCTGTCTCCAGCTGGATTCTTCCTAGGAGTTTGGGGGAAAGAACATATTTCTGATCATCTGTATTTTTTATACTGTTTATGTAACTTATAGGTGTGTTGGGGGAAGAGGGGTAAAATAAAGCAGGAATTGTAAAAGGAGATGGTGTGATAATTAACTTTTATGTAAACTTTTATTTTTGAAAGAGGAAGACTTAGGCTGCATTATACAGCAGAGAGGGCTAAGCAACTGCATTCTGTTTCCCAGGGACAGTATCACTGTGTGGCCCTGCCCGCCTGATACTTCTATGTTCTGTAGTGGAGACAAAGGTGTTTAAAATGAAATGATAGCTTCCTTTAAGACACTGTTCATTTCTGGTTGCCAAAAAATATGTTTATTTATTTATTTAATAAATTTATGTAGTTGCCCAACTCACGCATGGTGACTTCAGGCAGCTTACAGCATTAAAAATCCACAACCCAAAGCCTGTCAAACTGCAACTCCACCCCCCACCCCACCTCACCCCAAATCACCACTATCATGATGCATGAACTTACTGGCAATTTCACACCAGTATTAATCTGGAATAAGCAGGATGGATCCAATTTCTTTTATGGTTTGTAACTTAGTATCATCAGTTGGAATTGCTGCATTTCATACAAGGATTTTCTGGTATTGGTTCATCTCAGCATTGTAACACCTTGATGGACTCTGAAGAGATGCTGTATTGAGGAAGGAGAATTCCACTCATTTGTTTCCTCTTCTAATTTGCACTGAGTAGACCCTGTTCATTACTCAAATTTTGTAGCAGTAAAGATCTTGTCCTGGTTTTTGTCTTCTAATTCTTCTGGTCTCAAGGTTTTTTAAAAACATTATTATTATTATTTTGGTTTTCTTCAATCTTCAAGTTCTAGCCAAGGCTGTCCATGATGATGTCAATAATAAGTATCTCCTAAAGCCATTTGCTTCTTTCATCTATCTTGAAGACTTTTTCTTTTCCATTTGTCCAAATGGCTAAGTCTTCTCTCAGTTGACAGTGGCACAATTCTTCACCTGGAGCTGGCAATCTTCAGATTGATAGCTTGGAGAAGATGTTTTTAGGACCCTTCTTTGAACACAGTGGCTCAAATTTCTATGTGTGGCATGCAAACCTGCTCAGCAAGCAGCTGTTCTATAAATTGGTTGAGATTTCACGAATGAAGGCGAAAATATGTATAGCAAGATAATGTTGCAGGAACCAATCTGGGTTGGTCACCGGGACCAGAGGTTTTGTCTTCCAAGCTTTCGGACTCGTGCTTGAGCCCATTTTCAAGGAACTTCTCTCTAGCAGATTGGTTCTTGGTTGAGATGGATCTCTCTTGTTGCTTTCATTGAATTTTTCCCCGTTATATTTGGAATGTTTGTCTTTATAATCAAAGGAATTTGCCTCCCCCCTCCAAATAGCAACAAATCTGGGCAATTTTTTTTCTTCCTCATTGATAACATAGTTTAGGGAAAGACTTTTGAATATTTTCCTTTCAAGAATATCACATTTGTATTGAATTTGCTTCTAGTTTTCTCTGAGATGATGGGCAAACTTTTTGAAACTGCCTCACTTCACTCTTTTATTTGTTAACATTCTTAACTGTCATACTGTCAGCATGATATCTCGGTGAAATTTGCACTCTGAGTTTGAATGAACTATACCTGTCATTTCATAGGGATAAGATGATCTTGTGACCAGCTCTAACCTTTGTTCCCAAAGTTGCCACTGAAACTTATCTGCCTCAGCAGCAAGTGTTGCCTGCAAATTTTCTAGATCTCACAATGTCATTGGAGCATTCTTTTGATCTGTGTGATGAGCAGCGACTATTGCATTCCCCTTTGACTAAACTGCTCAAGTTTTATGAAGATGCTCATTAGCTCCTGTTCTGTGATTCTTGGTCAGTGTAGACAGACATAATAAAGCTTTTTAATCATACACAGAGTTGGTTTACCATCCCAAACTCAACAGTTTTTCACAAAGTGGTAAGACTCTGAAGTATATCATAAAGGAAATGTCATTTTGAATTAAACAGATGTTTTAAGATTAAGCTTCTGAATCTTACATACAAACTGTAAAACAGGTACTCATTTTTTTCTATATAACTTAAATGCCACATTTTGTTTTACTGCCACTTGCCAAAGAATCATACTAGGGTTTCCCAACCTTGGCTGCTTTAAGACACATGGGCTTTAACTTCCAGAATTCTGCAGGCAGGCTGGGGAATTCTGGGAGTTGAAGTCCACTTGTGTTAAAGTGACCAAGGTTGGGAAACCCTGCATGAAGCTATAAATCCAGTGGTGGGATTCAATTTTTTTTTTTTTACTACCGGTTCTGTGGGCATGGCTTGGTGGGCATGGCAGAGGAAGGATACTGTAAAATCTCCAGTCAGAGGTGGTATTTGCCGGTTCACGGAACTACTCAAAATTTCCACTATCGGTTCTCCAGAACTGGTCAGAACCTGCTGAATACCACCACTGTATAAATCCTCATTGCATTACAGTGTCTTGCAGCATATATAAAGCAGGAAGATTTTGAGATACTTTCTACGTTATTTTCTGATTTGTTCTGGTTCTATTTTTTCCCCTTTGCAGTGTTTAATTCCTGTATAATCAGCTGAAGTAGCACCTCAGTATTCTATCTCAGTTGAAGCATCTGGACTGGGTATCCCTTAAGGTCTAATATCTGCAATCCGAAACACTTTATAAATTTGCTTATAAGTGAGCATCAGTTCTTGATTGATAAACATACTTTCTTTTCACTTTAGAAAACCATATGAACTAGTTCAGCACTGAAAACAGGAGATGCTGGAGGTGGAGGCAGAAATTGTAGTGGGTATATGGCTGGCTGGCTGGCTGCCACAGTGACAAAGAACTCTGAGCCAACCATGAAGTCATGCTGAATTTAAGGAGTTTCACTGATCCAAAGCACGGTGTCTTTAATTTTACAAAGTAAAGTTGTCTTACGCTAGACTATTAAACAAAGACCCTTCAATGACATGAGGAGGGAATAGTGCTTGTAAATTTTAGTTCGAAAACATGAAATATAGTGATATGAAAGAATTCACTTTTTCTCACTTTCTATGACTAACTTCCTCAGCCTTGAGCATAGCATTGGCACTCTGCATTTCCTGCTGTTCTAGGGATATGTGAAGGCTTGGTACGAAATTTGAGAAATGTATGTACTTTTCTATTTCAGGAAAATGAAGTCAGGAATTGAATGTGTGTGTTGTTGGCTGTGAGGCTGTGATTTTACCCTGTGTGGCTTGGCTTCTCACTATTTTTATTAGTGAGTAAAAAATGCCAAGACCTCATTCAATAGAATAATCGACATTCTCTTCTCCATTTCCTAAAGAAACTCATGTATTAATCTTTTTAAAACTGAGAGATAGGTTCTGCTGAAAAGTAGGACAGAAGAATAAAAACAATGGAGAATAAATAGAATATTAAACTTTTGTTTATTACTGTCACTCACTCCCATTCTGTCACATGAGCCCCTAGCCACACCCACCCAGCTGGTCATTAGGGCAGAGAATGGGAGCCACAAAACCCTTTTGACATCTCTCTCTCCCCCTTCCTCTCTATTTCCCGCCCTGTATCTCTCCCTCTCTGTCTCTCTGTCCTTCCCCCATTCTCTCTCTCTGTATCTCTCTTTCTCTCCCCACTCTCACTCCCCTCTCTTTCTCTCTCCCCCCCTCTCCCCCTCTCTTTCTGTATATATCTCTCTGTGTCTCTCCCCCTACATTCTGATATGAAGAGTCGGGCAGGCCATGAGGCACTCTCGCAGCGCCTTGAGCAGCAGAGTGAACTTTACTGTGCTTCACAATGGGGAAAATGGGGTCTCTTCCTCCTCCTGCAGCGGAACCACAATGCGACCCTGGCCCACTCACCCCTAGCAATATAGCTCCGAGCCTGAAGCGCTGGGAGGTGAGGGTTTCCTTGAACACAAATGTGGCGCAAAGTCAAGTAATGTGCCACTTCGTTCCTGCACTAAGGCTCCAGTGAATCTCCCCCCCCTCCTTCTCCTCTCATGAACCCCTGGCAGGCTCTGGCAGGGTTGGGAGG